TTTTTACAAATATATTATAACTATTGTATAATTCATATATATAATTTTTAAAAGTATAAATTTACAAATAAAAAAAAATAACTATATAATACGACAAAACTTTTGAATCAACCCACGTATGAATTACGATCCGAGATGGAATTAGCCTTATGGCAATTTGAAGGGCTACGAACCAACTTGTACATATATACAAATAAAAGTAATATTTTATTTATATGTATACAGGATCTTTTAACATATACTCCAATTCATGCAATAAGTTTATTTTAAAGTCTATTTAATAACTTATATAGTGCCATTTTTATATTTCTTATTAAGACTTGATACACTAAACATGTCGGATAAGCATTCGTTATTGTTACAACGATCTGTAAAACAGTCATTATGAAACAAAAATAGTTTTTATTATACGAATCATACCGAATTTACAAACTTAATATTAATCAAAAAAATCATTCGGTTAATTCTTATCAGGTGTTCCAATTTTACATAAATTCTGGAACAAAAGAAAAAATTACCATGACCGAATCGACAAGTTTCTGAGTTCAGCCGAAGCCGGTTACTTATTGATTCCGACTCGGTGACTTATCGATTCGGTCATCGGTAATTTTTCAGAATTTATGAAAACAGCTGTAAAGCAAAGCTCGGCCCGGCCTGCTACTTCGGTGTTATGCCTGGAACTTTTTCTTTATTTAGTATTTTATTATTTTATCATTTTCTTATTTGGGTGTAGTCTGGGAATTGATTGTCGTAGCGTAAGGGAGCTTGTGACTCCTGGAGAGAGTTGGGAGCCCCCGAGGGAGTCTAAAACCCCCGAGGGATTCTAAAACCCCCCCGAGAAAGTCTAAAACCTTTGAGGAGTTCAAAATTTACGAATATATAAGGATGTGGTTTCGATCTGCGAAGGGAATAACCTTGGTTGAACGATTGTTGAACGTATTGTAATAACCCGATGCATTGATTTATGTTAATAAAGAGAAACCCTATAACCTGTAATTATGTGTGTTAGTTTATTTATTTATACCATTTAACTTTAATCACTATTTGTTCACGATCGAAGCTAAATTGGTCCAAGACCCTATAAGCTCTCCCACCGGTCGTAACACCAAGCCTGGCTCAAAATATTTTGTTTCGGGCCCTGCCAAGCCTGGCCCATTCCGAAACCTACCTAATATCAGATATTAAGAAAATTTTTTTTCATATACGTACGTACGTACGTACCAGATAATTTACTCTATAGGTAACAAGATTAAGGTTGTTCTCAAGCACCTCCCTCTATAGTTAATAAAATTTTCTGATTGGTTGAAAGTGTTTAATCATTTCGATCAAAAAAGCCTGGACCTAACAACCATCTTTTTTTTCATAGAGTTACTTTGATTGGATAAAATTTAAAATCCGCATTTGCACAATGAATTTCCGGCAAATCGTTATAAAGATCATTTCAATTAATTTCGATTAATCGAAATGATTGAGCAGCATCTCTATCACTAGCAAGTTGCATTGAGGGAGCTGCTTGAGAACAACCTAAATTTCATTAATTTAATAAATAAAAAACAAATTGTAAGAGTATCAAAAAAAAAAAAAACTACTGTAATTTAATAGATTTTTTAATTAATATAATATCTAATTATATCTGATATAATACTATAAAACAAAATGTTCAACAATTTCGAGAGAAGTCTCATATCGATATCGCGATCATTGGCATATATAATCACGTGCCAGATACTGTCACTGCCGGCGACAAATAGATTCGCCCATAATTTATTAGATAGTTTCTGCATTGTAATAATTACTAGATTATATATATCTGGATTGTCACCGTTCACGACAAACGGTTTATTAAGAGCTGTAGACGCTTCAATAATCTTCAATGTTCCTTCGGAGAGGTAAGATAAATGGAGTCTTTGTCAGGAAAATGACTCCTAGACTATATAGATTTTATTAACGAAATTTAAAATTGTTACATCCAAAGATCCAATTTGAATAAATAATATTTTTTTTTTTGTTTTATAGAGATCATTAAACTCTACGAAATAATTTAAAAAAAAAAGTTTATTCAAATTGAATCTAAGTCCTTGGGTCATTTTCCTCAAAATTATTACAAATTTCAAGCGTTTATTTTATTAGACGCGTTTGATTTGTATCTTAATGATCGCATTAAGTCTGATTTACGTTACTAGGATTTTCACAGCTCGTAATTACAAGTAGTCGTCGGTATTTTGGAACAAATAACAATATTAGGTTTGTTAATCAACGGCGATTGCAATTATTAGAGGCTGAGGCAAATTCATTTCCCAATAACGTGGCCAAACAAGTTGAATATTATAAAGTAGGTGATTATCTTTGTTAGGCATTGAAAAAAAAAGATCTGGTTTTACGAATTCTAGGAAAGACGAAACTTTATACAATTTATTTATTTAATTTTTAGGAACTACTTAGAGCTAATAATCATAGTGCGATTATCACTCGATTCGAACGTGGGAGTTTTGCACATGATGATGAATGTTTTCGAGCGTATATCACTGCTTTGGCTAGAACGGGTCAAGCGGATAAAGTCTTACCAAAAATAATGCAAAAATTAGAACAAACTGGTGTTATTGGCGTTGATGGTGGTATATAAAAAATTTTGATATTATATATTGCAGTAGTTTTATACATTAAGCCTCCTAATATATATGTATCCTAAGCTTCAAAGAGAGCAACTTCAACGAACGATTTGGTACATACAATTTTTAAAGGCCAAGGAAAAAAGACTACAGCAGAAAGTGGATCATCATCTACAGCATCAAATGCTGGTAATAAAGAAAATCCTATTTATGTTGTAATTGAAGGAGGTGAGAGTTTTTCGTCAAAAATTACAAAATGATCAATTTTGTTTTGATGGGCTAATATTTTGCATTTCTTTTTAATTCAGCACGAGGATATATGTTTTGGCGGGCTTTACGATGGGTTGGCATTACATTCACATATGCCTTTTGTATTATTACTTTTCTTAGTATTGCTATGGAAAATTCAGGACTATTAAAGACCGGTGGATCACAGTCGGAATTTGAACCATCTTCACAACAGGTGGTTAAATTTTCTGATGTGCATGGTGTTGATGAAGCCAAAGAAGAGTTGGAGGAATTAGTTGAATTCTTAAAAGACCCTTCAAAGTTTACAGGATTAGGAGGGAGACTTCCAAAAGGTGTTTTACTTACTGGCCCTCCAGGTACTGGAAAAACATTATTAGCACGTGCTGTTGCGGGGGAAGCTGGTGTACCATTCTTTTTTATGTCCGGTTCAGAATTTGATGAAATGTATGTTGGAGTTGGAGCAAGAAGAGTGCGTGAACTCTTTGCTGCAGCGAGACGCAAAGCACCTAGTATAGTTTTTATAGATGAATTGGATGCAATTGGTTCAAAACGCAATCCAAAGGATCAAACATATATGAAGCAAACACTTAATCAATTATTAGTAGATTTGGACGGATTTTCACAAACTGAAGGGGTTATTTTCATAGCCGCAACAAATTTTCCAGAACTTTTGGATAAAGCATTGGTTCGGCCTGGTCGTTTCGATAGACATGTAGCCGTACCACTACCAGATGTGCATGGTAGAGTGCAAATTTTGTCACATCATTTAAAAAATGTTCAAATTTCCATTGATGTAGATATTAGCGTTATAGCACGTGGAACACCAGGTTTTTCAGGTGCAGACTTAGCTAATTTAGTTAACCAAGCGGCTATTCAAGCTTCCAGAGATGGCGCACAAGAAGTTGCAATGCGACACATGGAATATGCCAAAGATAAAATACTTATGGGTGCAGAACGTAAATCTGCCATAATAACAAGTGAAAATAAAAAATTAACAGCATATCATGAAGGCGGACATGCATTGGTGGCCTTGTATACGCCCGGGGCTTTACCATTGCATAAGGCTACAATTATGCCACGGGGTTCTACTCTTGGCATGGTTAGTAATAAGCATTAATATTTGTGTTTATTTTTTTATTATTTTTATAAATCTAGTTGAGATTATAATATTATATGTTTTCTACAGACAGTACAATTGCCTGAAATGGATAAAGATAATTACACCAAAAAAGAATTTCTTGCAATGGTTGACGTTGCTATGGGTGGAAGAGTTGCAGAAGAAATGATTTTTGGTAAAGAAAACGTTACAACAGGATCACATAACGATATTGCGAACGCAACAAATGTTGCAAAACGTATGGTGACGTTATATGGCATGAGTGATAAGGTACGTATACCAACGAGTGATCTTATTCAGTATGCCATTTATGTGTTCATTAATATTATCGCACATATGTTTAGGTTGGACCGGTAGCCCATCCCGAAGAAGACATGGATCAATTAAGTACTCAGACTAAATTAATTATTGAAAGTGAGATCAAGGCATTATTAGAGGTTTGTTTTATGCACATAAACGTTATTTATCCAAAGGATATAAATATCCGGTTTGGTTTTACCACAAAATCCTGAAAGACAGATTCCGGAAATGACCTAATACCGACAAAGTTAGCCGGCATTAGTTATAATGTTTGCAAATTTAGTCGGTATTATGTTCTTTCGGGAAAATGGTTTTCGGGATTTTGTAGTAGAACCATCCATTTTGCCGGACTGATTCTTTCTTCAAAGTAATTTCCATTTACTTAGTATTATTATTAATAACTTTATTTAATGAAACTTTATAATAGAATGCTCAAATTCGTGCGTCAAATATTTTAAAAGCTCATAAAGAAGAATTACATCGGTTAGCAAATGCTTTAATTGAATATGAAACTCTTACACAAGAAGAAATTGAGTCAGTCATTAAAGGCAAAGCTATTAATCGATGAAAATCTATTTATAAGTCTTTTTTTTTTTTTTTTTTTTTTATTTACTGGACAATTTAACTTTGGTTTTTGAGAATAGATTTTTAAATTGTAAAAATTATGTTCTTGATTTATTTGTTTCCTTTTTTTTTTTTTTTCTCTTTCCTCCTGACATGTTTAATGCAGAGTATATAAATTTGTGAAAATCATAATTCTTTTTATGCATTCATTTCCTACATTAAGTTCATACTGGTTACACAAAAGTGGATGAGGTGACAGTGAGATAATTAACTACTGTTATTCAATGGACATGGTTAATTATAGACTCTTTAATAACATTTATTGTTGTGTGAAATCTATTAAAATCATACAAAAAAACATATTTTGGTGAATTTGCGTTATTGCATATATCTATCTTTAATATTTTAAATGTAAAAATAATTATTAGATTGTTGATTTACAAAATTACAAAAAAATTATTAAAATTAAATTCCTAATAACCTAGCATAATGAAATATTATTAATATCAATTATGAAATTTTTAATACTAATTAAGGCTTATTAATAATATGCTAAAAAAAATTTTACTTTCAATATTGTGTTGATCTAGAAAAAAACTACTTTGATGGTATATATATATATAATATTTAAACGATGCATAAGTCATATTCTATACTATACTAAATATTGTTAGATAATTTACTGTTTCTTTTTAACCAAAGTCCATCTATGTATTAATAGTCACATGAAATCTATATGTTCTTAGCTTAAAATAAAATCTATACATAATTAAATATGGTAATTGCCAATAATGTCACACAATATGTTGTAATGGTTGATGATATATATGCGAATGGTGGAGAATTTGAAGGAGTACAACCAGGACAAGTAAATTCTAAGATATATACGTACATACAATATATGTTATTAAATATATATGTATAAACATAACGATAATCACAGGTATTCGTATCTCAATTTTTGTTATTCATATTCCTCCAGTAATACTATAAAACTTGAGAAAAGATATTTCGATATTACCTAATCAATTCGATAAAAATTTTTTTTTTATTTGAATTCTATAAATATATAGAATTC